GCGGGGCGCCGGCCGGCGGGGCCGAGCCCCGAGCCGGGCCCGCAGACCTAGGCGCGTGGCCCCCCGCCCGACCCCGACCCGGCCCCGACCCCGCGGCGGCCCGGGCGGGCGGGCGAGCGCGGCCGGAGGATGTCGGCGGGCGGCCGCGACGAGGAGCGGCGGAAGCTGGCCGACATCATCCAGCACTGGAACGCCAACCGGCTGGACCTGTTCGAGATCAGCCAGCCCACCGAGGTACGCAGCCGGCCGGGGTCCCCCCCTCCCCGGCGACGCCCTTCCGCCCCCCGGGACCCCCTCCCGCGCCGGCCGCGCCCCCGGACCCGGGGTGGCCGCGCCGGGCGCAGGCGGAGCGCGGTCACCTGTGCCCCGGCGGGGGGCGGGGGAGGCGGGCGTGGCGGGGACGTCTTTCGCGGGTCTCCCCGCCCGCAGCCGGGGTCGCGGCGCTCGGCCCGGGCCCGCGGACCTTTGTCACCGGGACGCGCGAGCATGTGACCGCGGCGGCCGCGGTGGGTTTGGAACTTGGGGGTTGGCGGCCGGGAGCGTAAAGTAAATATCGGGATAGTTGTTCCAATTGTGCGGCTCTGCTGATAACGCGGCCCGGAATTGAACTCCCGTGGAAAGAAGGTTTCCTCCCATTCGCTGCCTGCGCTCAGGTGGACGGGAGGGCGCCCCTCCCCGCGCCGGCCGTGCGCGCGTCCGCGGTGACCCAGGCTGGAGAGGGGGAGGGGGAGGGGGGAGGAGACCTGGGCTGGGGGAGGGGGCCCGGACCGGGCGGGGGGAAGATCGAGGGAGGGGGTGGGGGGGGGGGGGGGGGTGTGGTGGCTGGTCCTGGGCGTGCTCCTGGAAAAGGAGGAAATCTCTCTTGCTCTCGGCCTGGGACAATGGTAGTTGTTTATAGCAAAGCTGCTGAAAGAGTTCCCAACAGTTAAAAAAACAACAAAAAAAATAGGTTTGGTCCCCATCCGCCGGTCTGGGGGAGGTGGGGGATGGGAGTGGAGGTGAGGGTCAGGGAGGGACCCTGAAAACCGATTCATCCCAGCGAGCGCTCAGAGCTGTGCTTGCTTCTCAGGCTGTAGTTGCACAGACTTTAGCCACACGAAATACACCTTACAGAGGATTTACGTCCTCTTAGGAAATTATTTTAATAGCATCTGTTTCTGATTTGCTGTAGTAGGTGGTTCAAAGTTAGTATTATTTACTAAAATGCCAGCTTTTGGGCAGCAATACTGTTGGGCAAATTTGAACATTCTCATGAAACTTAATCCCTATCATTAAACTCCAGTTTATATTTCTGAGTAAACTTGACCTTCACCTTTTCAGCGTCTTGATTTTGCCTGTGGCGGGAAAGATCCATTTCTTCTGTCTTCCTGGGCAGAGCCATTTATCTTACTCCTTAGTTGAATACTAATATAAATTATTAGGTTCAGGTTGCCAATTTGAACACCGATACTGAGTTACTCCTGATTCACAGCTCATCTTCTCTAATGATTTTATGAGTTAGGTGCTAGTAAGCAAATTGATAATATGTAGTTAAGTGTTCATTCATAGGCTTATTAGCACATCTTTTGAAAGGTGACTGCAGTAATTTGGCCTTCAGGATTATGTTGTCTTTCAGAATAATGAGTTCATTTTTCTTATCTCTGGCTTTAAAAATTCGGATGTAAAATATTATTTTGGGAGATAGTTGTTTTTTTCTGTTTGAATGGACCTATTTATATATATATATATTTTTCAGAGATTTCCCAAGTCTGGTCGTGAAAAGGAATATTTTTTCAGTTTAGTAATAGGTAATTCAGTTTACTCTTTGGGATTTTAAATTGCATTGGCATTTAAAAAAATCCTGAATCAAAAACAGATTAGAGTTAATTGATTTTATTAATTCTATTTTTAAGCACTCAATTGAAACTTTTTCTCTATTTTTTTAGGTATACGAGTAGTTATTAAAGTAAAACTGGCCTCTCATTTGGAGAGCTACTCTTTTCCTAGTTATTCTGTGGGTGAAAAGTTGCTGTGCACACGTGTTGAAGCAAAGCAAAAGTTAAAGGACATTTCTGGGAAATGATTATATATTTCATTTAGTAGTTTTTCCTTCCCACGTGTATCTGAACATTTCAGTTTTTAGAAATGATTCTCCAGGATTATGTTGGAAAGCTCTTCATAATGAAATAAGTCGGTTTTTTAAAATACCTGTATGTTATCTTCTTAGCTCTTATATTATCTAATACCTAGTTCACACTTTACTTTTTGTTTTCTGGAGAACCTTTGCATACTGTTAAGTTTATTGTGGTCTTGGAAGTTTAAGCTTCGCGTTTAGCATGTATTTTTCATTATGATGTAGGTAAAAACTAAAGTTAATAATTCTCTAAATCGCTATTTCAAGGCCAACAGTTTCGATTTGCTTTATCTAAACTTCGTTGTCTGCAGTTTTTTACTGTCTGAGAAATAATGAATTTTTACTCTATTTGTCCATCACAAGTCATTGTTCTTAGTTTTCTACGAGAACGTAACCATTATATTGGCCTTTATTATGGTCAGTAAATGTTGAGCAAATTTACTGCAGAATTTGATTTGTAGGAATATGATCTAAGCCTTATATGTATATATTTGGATAATCTTTTCTTAGGTACATATATGAGAGTTTAGTTGTGGTTTGTTTTCTTTTGATTGCTTTTTTGGGGGTTACAGTGATCAATATCTGTTATCAAATTATATAACTATAGGTCATCTGTGATTGGGTTCAGGCAGCCTTGGATAACCACTGATCTGGGGTGTCTGTGTTTGGGAAGATGATAAACTTGGCTTTTTGCGGTACATTCACTTTTAAAGAACATTAGAATATGTTTTAAAATCAACTTGGTTAAGTTCGCTTCATATTCACCTTTGTGTGTTAAAGGGCTTCCAAAGAAAAAGCAAGTTATATTTTATCATTGTGTACTTTTCAACCCCTTCCTCACTCTGGATCCCAGGTCCTTTTGGAATTTAAAATGAGAGTTGATGATCTAAACTTAAAGTTGATGTTTTCTCACCAGGAGATTGATATTAAGCTGAATTAATATCTTGATTACTATGGGAAACTATAACTCATAATAAATGCTTCTGAGAGCTTTTTAGTCCTGTCTGTCCTTTTCTTATTTTTGATGTTAAGTCTTTATTTCCTTTAGGGATTTCTGATTATTTATTATGGCAGAGTTCTTGTTCCTAATCTCATTACCTCCTCGGAAGAGGGCTTCTCTAGTTACCCAAAGGTCTCCGTGTTGTTTTTTGGTGTTCTGTTGTTTGACTTATCCCAATTTTGTTATTATAGCCGTTGGTTTGTCTGAATCCCTCTCTGATTGCATGAAGGCAGGAGCTTAGAGTTTTATTGTTTTAAACAGTTTTATGGCTGTCACATGGTAGGTGCTCAGTAAATATTTTGTGGAAAGAATACTGAATATGGCTTCCTTCGTGTGTACCTTTATCCTTGACAAAATAAGATACATGCTTTTTTAAAACTTAGTGAAATTGTCTTTTAGGATCTTAAAGATTTATCTTTTCAAGTCTTATTCTTTTGCATAAAGTTTACACCTAAATGCAAAAACCATACTAGGTAGTTGACCACTTCACTTCATGAGACATTTCTTAAAGTCATTTGTTTTATTACTTATTGAATTCATTGCCTTTTTTTTTGCATTGATGGGAAAAAAGTAACCTAGAATTTGTGTGGATACCCATATATTCTTTATTAAAGGTAAATATGTTCTATTTTAATATTCTGATTAATCTTGAGAAGTAATGTGGTGATTCATATTACCCAGAGGTGTGTGTAAAAAATAACTTGCAGTTTGTCAGCGGAGGTGGAGTAGGCAGTCTTCAGATGAAGTAGTAGTAATTGCCTAACTTAGAGCTAAATCTCTATTTCAGACTAATGCTTAGGTTGTAACTATGCTTTATCATACAACTTAACTATATTTGAAACTAGTTTGAAAACAACAGTTGTATTATTAAACGCTGGTACGTTAGAAGGTCTGTATTTCTGGTGAGTAATGTATAATGAGGTAGGCAGTTGCCAGTGATGTGTTTTTAGTATTTATAGGTATCTCTGCTCCTTTTAAAAAAATCTTTAGGGCTTCCCTGGTGGCGCAGTGGTTGAGAGTTCAGCTGCCGATGCAGGGGATGTAGGGAACACGGGTTCGTGCCCCGGTCCGGGAAGATCCCACATGCCGCGGAGCGGCTGGGCCCGTGAGTCATGGCCGCTGAGCCTGCGCGTCCGGAGCCTGTGCTCCGCAACGGGAGAGGCCCGCGTACCGCACAAAAAAAAAACGTTACTTTTTTTTCCTGTAATAATTGGTTGCAGTTTATGTTTGTGGGTGTGTGCTTGTGGGTATGAGATCCAGGCTCTGTGTCACGTTGTTTCCTTACCTTGTAACTGAAGCGGCATCTTGACTGGCTTCACTTTGCTGTGCTCCTGACAATGAAAAATAATTTTCCTTTATGCAGTTTATAGACTTAATGGAATGTAAGTGTGGTAAGTGTAGGCTTTTCTACAACTATCAGTTTTTGATTGTGGTTAAGGGTAGAATAGCAAAAGTGGTTCTTTCATAGTCATGAAAGAATTTGATTTGCAGAAGATCAGGATATGGTACCAAGTTGGGGGGGTTAAGAGAACAAGGTTTAGGGTTATGTCATTAAGGATTTAATTGAGCAGTTGTAGTGTATAAAGCATTATTATTAGCAGTTGGTCGTTATTCTGGTGGTGTAGATTAATTTGTTTATAAACAGTTTTACCAGACTTGAACTTGGGTGTAATATCAGAAAATGCTAATAAATAATATAGCAGTTATTTTGATATTAGCTTGCTCTCCTTTATTATACATAAAATGTATATATGAGTAATATTTATGGAAATTAAACTGACCTCTTAATTGAACATTATTTTCAGGTTAGGTAGAGTGTTGATTTTGGTTCAGAATTTTGCTGTTGCTATTAGCTTCCTGGCTGACTGTATTTCGGATACGCTCGTTCACCTTGACGATGCCTAGGACGGTGACCTATACTTATGTTTGTAAGTTAGATGCTAAGCAGTGAGCCAGATCCCACAGACCCCACTTACCAGGTCTGGGCGTGTCCCAGGCATTGGCTGACACTGACAGGCTGGCAGGCCCTGGGAGTCCATTGGTGGCTCCCAGTCAGGGCCCCACAGGTATGAGGTGACGGTTGGTGTGGGCGTGCTGTCAAGGTGGACCATCTTTATGCAG